TATGATAATACTTCTCTACATTCCACCAGTATGTCAGGCAGGTTTTTAGAAAAGTTTGAATTTTTTAAATCAACAGGTCCAGATAACTTGTGCAAATTTTTTTAAAAGACTTGTCTGAGGAACTCACTGGACCATTACAAATGATTTTTCAGTAGGTCTCAGATCACAGAGGAAGTTCCAGAAGACTGGAAGATTTTGTCCCAATAATTTTGTCCCAATATTTAAAAAGGGTAAATAGGATGATCTGGGTAATTATAAACTCGTAAATTTGACATTGAGCCTGGGCAAGATAATGGAGCAGCTGATGCAGGACTCAATAAGTAAAGAATTAAATAAGGTTTATATAATTAAAGCCAATCAACATGGATTTATGGAAAATAGATCCTGTCAAACTAACTTGACAACCTATTTTTATGAGATTACAAGTTTGGTTGATAAAGGTAATAGTGTTGACATGATAGATTTCTGTAAGACATTTGACTTTGTATTGCATGACGGGAACATCCCCACCTCCGTAATTCTAATTTCCAGCTTCTACTGGGTTTCCTTAGTACACTTTACAGCACCTGTTTGCCTGTGTTTAGAATTCTCCTTCTCTCTTGTAGCCCCAAACCCTAACTGTTTTCTGAGTGTAAATGAAGAGTTACTCAGATGGTGTCTCTGACTGGCTATTAAAACAAGAATTTCCTCCTCTCTTTCTAGTCCTCTGTGTAGATGCTCTTATTTCAAACTGAGCGTCCCATTACAATTTAGATTAAGTCAATAAGGAATTGACTTAAGCGAATTAAAAATAAAACAGTGTTATTCCAAAATAATTGTGTCCACACACAGATCTGTGCCTTAATAATAATAAAAGGTTTGACGCAAAACCACCACAATTTAGTTACTTTTTTTGTCAGTTTTGGGTAGAGTTACCCTGTGTTTCCCACACTCTCAAATGACTCGGGAAAAAAGCCCTCCAATTCACTTAATTGTAATTATTTGAATGTACGGACCCTGTTTCCTCCCTCCATGATTGCCTGATTACTCCTGCTAGATAAACTTCCTTTCTTGCTTTCTTTGGAGTGTTTGAGTCTGGGTGAAGAATAGAGATAGTCAGAAAATGGTAATTTTTTCGACAGGAAATTTTGAGCTTTTAGAAAAAAATCCAAATCCAAAATACTTCCTCTGAAAACTAAAATATTTCAATGCTGAAATGCTGCCAAAATGCCTTGTGGGACTTGTATTTTTCAGGTGCCTCATATTCCACTTTCCTCTATAGTTCACACTCCCTGGTTGGATGAAATCTCCCATCATGCACCGCGGTCTCCTCTATTGGTGAGAGAAGGCTATATTGTATCATGGGAGATGAAGTCTGGCTGGAGAGCCTGGTGCATACAGAAGAATAGGGACACGAGGAAACCAAAGTACATCTCTCATGTACCACTTTGTGGTAGTGTTTCAGAATCAGATTTCCACTGGAAATTGAAAGTTTTGGTGTTTGGGTGTTCAAGTTTTTCCATGAGACATCAAAATTTTCCATAGAAAGCAAACACTTCTGATGGGAAATGTTCAGCCAATCCTAGTAAAGAGACAGGAGTTGTCTGTCAGGGAAAACTCTTCCTCTCCTCACTCCTTCTCCTGAATTCTGCACTGTTGGAAGAGAGAGAGAGAGGGAAACACTTCATGGGAACATTGGTTCATGGGTGGAGAGGTGTGTGCTTATTATCACTTTCTATCATATGCAAATCCTGGCCCTCATCTATTTAGGAGGTCAACAGAAAAGCAAGTGGATTTCAGACATTTACTCTCAAAAAATAGTTTTAAAAATATGTTGAAATTTATAACAAAACTGATCAAAATTGAATTGAGGTCTGAGTTTTCAGAAACGATGATTGATTTTTGTGTGGCCAACTTGAGACACCTTGAAGGAGCATGGTTTTCAGAGGATGGCAACTTTATGAAAATCAGGCCTCTTTATGGTGTCTCAAATTAAGCACCCCAAAATAAGTATTTAAAAAAAAATCTTGGCCGAGATGTGTTTTCCCTTTGAACAATGGGAAAGAATGGATTGCTCTTCTCTCTCATTTCAGTTAATCTGTTCACTGGGCAAGATGGCAGGAAGGAAGCTCACAATTAGCTGCTACTGTCACAGAAATGGTGAGCCTTCTGTGGATATTACCGGTGATATAACAATATAATATACACAGTATGATTTGGTGATTGGGGCATGATGCCATTTATAATCATTTTGTATATGCATTACCTGATAGAAAAACACAGTGGTTTTCCTGGGAGAGGTTTTGGAAAAGATATTGATTAGTGAAATGTTTGACTTTCTCATTTTATAAGTCAGTGTTTGTTTGTTTACTGTTTAATAAGACTTGTAAATACTGTCACACTCAAGAGGATTTGGCAAAAATCCCAGTACCCTTTTTGTACCCCAATTAACCATTTTTATCAGGAATTTGCCAATTGTATTCAATTTTTCAAAAGGTAGAGATGGAATAACATGTTCAAACACAAATAAGAACCATGGGCTAGATCCTCAGATGGCATAAACTGGTTTAGTTGCATAGAAATCAATGGAACAACATTGATTTATACCTCCCAAGGATCTGGTCCCAAAACTCTACATGAAGCAAATACAGGACATGTTAAATGAGAAGGGAGCTCTAATCATACTCTGCCTTAACTACAGCAGCCTCCTCTTTTCTTGTTTTAGATGCTAACCTCGCACTACTTCTCTCAGTGTAAAATCATTTTTCACCCCTTGAATTGACCATTTCACTCCTTGCAATCCTTGTATGTGTTCCTCAAGCACCTTGCTCAGCCTCAACTTATCTCTGACCTTGTTTCTGCCCAGATAAAAAGGCAGGCTTCAAGGACAGCACGGTTGTTTAAAGTCAGCATTTTCCGTTGCTTTCACAAAGGCATAAATCCTTCACACACTTAAGAATGTACCTAACTTTGCTCACAAGAGTAGTCCCAGTGGTTCAGTGGGACCACTTGTGAGTCAGATTGCTCACATGCTTCAGTGTTTTCAGGGTTGGGGCCTTAGTTTAGGTGTCTGTGGTGTTGGGAGGACAGTTTGTGCCCTATTTTCTTTCAGAGGTGCTGAAGCCAATGGAACTGCATTGGTGCAGCAATCTGTGCTAGCAGATTCTGACACAGTATCAAAGCTGAAATATGCACATACTGATAAGCATGGCATGTAACCAAATAAAATGAGCAATATCCAGCAGCTGCAAAGTAAGAAGAGTTCCATTACTTGAACAAAAAATATTTGGGGTGGAATTTTCAAGTTTTCAGCACTGGCCTAACTCTCACTCACATTGAAGTCAAAGGGAGCAGAGCTAGGTCAATGCTGACATTTTTGATTAGTGTAAGGACAGTTATGACTCATAAATTTACATAATGGCCACCACGATGTCCATAGTGCATTGTATTTCCAGAACTCTGCTACACTGTGTCTGCGTTGTATTTTTATGTCTAATAAAACTTCCAAACTGTTCAGAGCTGATTGTATGTTCTGTTCAGAGCCGAGCACCCAGACCGAGCTCAACAAATAACCATAATGGCAGAAAAGTAAGTCTCCCCTTAACTCATAAAACCTTTCCCCAGTATATGCTGCCACAAAAGAAAACTTTGAGGATCTTTCACTTCCTACTGTACTGTTTATCTTTATGGCCTGCAGCCATACCACCTTGATCTGTGATCTTGTCTGATCTTGCAAGCAAAGAAGGATACTTTGAATGGAAGACCTCCAAGCATAACACAAAAAGCTGGTAAGAACTGATGCTGGTGACTCATTAGGTGGCATTTTCCCCTCTGAGTCAGTCTTGAACAAAATGCCCCATGATTGTACCGGCAGGGAGATATTTTAGCACATGGGAAGGGAGACGGGAAGCAGTTCTATGCATAAGGCATGGTATGGAAGAAGACATGAAAGCTTCAGGGAGAGGCTTGAATCAGAATGGAGACTGAATTATTGACTCAGCCTAAGGGCTGACCCTTCTAGGGCTGGGTTGAGGATGGATGGAGAACTTGTTCCTCTTAGTCTACCAGCTTGGCACCTTCAAAAGTACTAACTTCACATGAAACCTTTTAAACAGCACCAGCAAAACCCAAATTCCTGGACCTAATAACGTTCTCCTAATCTGACGTTCCATTAAATATGAATAGTTCTGTGACGGCTCATTACAGGACAAAAATCAATATGGCTGTCGTAGTCACCTTGATTAATACAGTTACTTGGGGGTATTTGGAGAGTGGCAGTCTGGGCTACTTGGCAGGGGGGTGACTTATGTCTACAGAAGACTGATGATCTTACATTTACAGTGTTGGACTGGGACTTGGGAGGATTAGGCTCAGTTTCCAGTTCTGCCACAAACTCTATGATCCTGGTAAAGTCACTTAATTTTTGTGTTCCTCAGTTTCTCATCTGGATAATAATGCTTCCTTTGTCTGTCCTGTCTATTTAGACTGTAAACTCTGTCTCTTACTATATGTATGTCCAGCACCTAGCACAATGGATTCCCTATCTTGGCTGGGGCCGCTAGGTGTTACTATACTAATCATTATAATAATTCACATGTAGAGACCTTGTTCAGAACTGCCCTCTGACATGGGTGTAATAAATCCTCTTTTGGGTGAGTAGTGCACCCCTCCTCCTCCCCCCCTCCCTCGGACTATTGTATTTATGATAGAAACATTAATGAGAGAGAAATGTTAAACGACTGCCAAAAAAGTTTGTTGTTCTAAAGGGTAGAATCTGCTTGGTTGCTTTTTTTTTCTTTAAATGAAGACTTGCCGATGCCTTTCCTATTGGTTGATAGACTTATTGATGCGTGATCCAGCAGTAATCTATACCAGCAAGGTCAATAGGGTGTAATTACTAGCAGAACAGGCCGGAGTCTGCTCCCGGAGCTCTCCTCCCAGCACAAGCTCTTTCGGTATGCATATCACATCTCCCTGCTTGTGGCAGGCTGATGAGCGTGTGCAGTTCGTGCAGGCACACACATACTTCTGCGCTTTCCCTGAAAGTGGAGCATTGGCAACTGCCGTCAAAAAGCTCCCCGTGCTTCTTCAGCTCTGCTACTAGCACCAAACTGTCTAATTCTGTCTGGAGGGACTTGGAGACAGCCCTGAAGACAAGTTTAAAAGGGACCCAGTGACACCCTGCTGTCACATCTGGTGTCATGAAGCCACTTATTAGTAGCCCATTTACAATCACTTTCTTAGTCCCATCAATAGTGTATGCTCTTCCAGAAACCTGTCTGTCTTGGAAGGAGGGAGAACACTGCTGAAGGTATGTTGCAGTCTTCTTTACCTTAAATCTTTTGCTGAATGTTTCCGTCTGTGAATCTTGCTTGCAGACATTCCTGTTCTATGCAGTTTTCTATTGTTGGCTGCTAGGAACTCGCTTTAGCAAATCATAGCAATATAAATAAATGGTCAGGAATCTTTCACTCAGTAAACTGAGCAGATCGTGTTGTTAAATGACAAAATAAATGTGACTGGATTAAAGTTTCAGAGCAGACGATAACTCAGCCTGCAGATCATATCATAGACAAATAGAATGCCAGTTTTAATAGCAGTGCAACATTTCCTGTCATAGGCTTCCTAAGTGTGGCCACACAGCACTGCTTTTTAATTGATGCGTTTATTAAAAATGATCCATGCTTGCCAATGGTAGCTGCAATTTGCATATGTATTTGGGAATCAAAAATATACCGTAGTTAACTTTGATGCAGCTGTGGACTACAACACACTTAGCATTTCTAAAAGGAAGGGTGAGTGAACCATGCAGTGCAACTCACCTCTATAGTTTTACAGGTATAAATCTAGTTAGTAAAACTCCTGGCCAAAGCCAAGAAGTTTGCTACAATTGTGAGTTTCTATGAATGTAGCAATTGAGAAAACATTAAATATTAAATAAATAATAAATTTAAATAAAGAATAAATTGTTCAGCTTTCTGATCCCAAGATTTTATAACAATTTAGGACTTTTAAAGGTGGTTGAACCTCAGAGAGAGGAAATTATGACAGCTGAGATGTGATAAACACAGACTATTGTCTTGTTGCATTGGACTAACTGACTGTACCTTTTATCTGCTTGCAAGAAACTTGGTTTGTCGATTATACTTGTGGATTCTTTTGCTAACGGGTCCCCCCACAATGTAACACAAGTACATTTTGGACATTTCAGGATCATTCACTATCATGGGAGATATATTACAATATGTTCATACAGCCCCAATATCTCCTCCATGTGTCAAAGCATAATTTACCATGAGATTATTCTGATACAGCCAATGTTTTTAATGTGAATTTGGCATCATCTCTATTGCTTGCAATAAAGGTAAACTTACATATGAATGTTGTCAAGGGGAAAAAAAATCCCTGTTCATAATTGTACATATTTTGAAAGTATCAAAACAGACTTTGATTAATATTCCTTCAAAGTATTAAGAAAATTCCTCTGGTTGTAATTTACAAAAATTATTCATGCAACTGAGTTGATCCAGCCTAGAATAAAGAAATAGTATTGGCTTGAGAATACAAAAGGTGGGTGTGGGGGTGTTTGTTTACTTATTCATAGACTGAAAAAATTAAGTATTCCAAGTTGTCTATAGAACTCAATGGATTCTTTTATTATTAACAATGTATTCCATTAACAGGGCATGCTATACACCATGGTAGCTATGCAACAGAATGAAACAAGGAATCACCTTGTATACTGTCTTCTATAACACTGGTAAAGGAGAAAACTCTTTGATGGAAGTTATGGTTATTCCTTATAAGTCTAAACAGTGTGTGGGAGTTATGAGTGGTTGTAAAGTGCCTATATCTCCCAAGCAGTCTTATTTGTAAATATGTCCAGTAGGAGCCTATTTGTGCATGGTCTTAGCAGATTTAGGCTTTCTGATATCCAGGGGCACATCTTTGGGAATCTGTCCTTACCAGAGTTGGACAGTAGCCATTCACCAGTGGCAAGGTCACTCCAGCCATCCTGCTGTGCTTTTCACAGCTGTAGGAGCTGCTTCAGCACTAAAACTGTGGTAGCCTGTCACTTTGTGTCTCATCTCCAGGGAGAAGCAGGGGAAAAAACACATTTTGTTGCTTCCATCAGTCTTAATTTTTTATATAATTCATTACAGAGCAACGGACAAACTTTCTGGTGTATTCTTCTATAGTTATAATGTCCTGTCAATCTTGACATTCAGTGAGTACAATCATAAGGTGAAAAGAAAAGGAGTACTTGTGGCACCTTAGAGACTAACCAATTTATTTGAGCATAAGCTTTCGTGATCTACAGCTCACTTCATTGGATGCATACTGTGGAAACTCATAAATTCCTAAGGTGAATTTCAATATTATTTGCATGGATTTAAAAAGAAAAAAAACCTCCATGTGGGCCAGATTCTGTTGTCCATTACAGCGGTGTGAATCCACAGTCACTCCTCTGAAGTCAGTGGAGAGGACACTCCAGATGTACATCAGTGTAAACAAGAGCAGAAACTGAGTATGTGGACCAGATCCTCAATAGGGATAAATTGGGGTAGATTCACAGGTTTCAGTGGAGTTATGCTAATTTACACCAGCTCAGGATCTGGCCCTGTATTTTTTACAGTGTAGACTCTATTTCAGCATAAGTAGCATGACCTGTAATATCCTAACTCTGCCAACATACTGGGAGAGAACATCTATCTGTGTGCAGTTAGAGGAAGTAGGAGGAATCTGAAAGCAATAATCTTTTATCTATACCTTTACCATAACCTAGGAGAGAAAAATATTTCCTTTTTTTTTCACTTTAAGATGCATAGGTTCTTCCTTTTTGCTTGATTGTATGCCAGGCTCAGTGTACAATGTTAGCTCCATGCTGCCCGTTACTTGATCTCAACCTGCGGTTCTGTGGAGGTGAAAGGTAACTCAGTTCAATCTCCTGGGGTGAGCTCACCTCTGTGCTTCTTCAAAGCAGATTTGTCCGTCGTGTAAAATGCCACTGCTGTTGCTTTTATATTCTGAATCACTAGGCAAATCAGACTTGAAGAGAATCAAACACATTTGCTAAGTGTGACAGGGTAGCAGAGTGCTACATTCACCAAGCCAACCAGCCCCCTAGTGTTTTGAAGTACTTTATTCACAGAGGTCTGCTCAGATGTTAAGCCTTGTGTTCTTGGATACTGAAAGTGAAGTGCAGGATTCTGAAAAACTCATAAGAGGTTGAAGAATTCATCCAGGTCTGTTTTCTAGTGTGTTAGACAATAGACACAATGTCCAGCCTGCATACCTCTCATGAGTATAAGTGGGAGTAATCGAGTATCCTACCTGTGCTTTGTGTAGTTACACGGCATGCCAACAATTGTACGATCACTACTTCAAGTACCAAGGAGAAAAAAATATTAAGATAGTGAAATCTAAACAGGTGCAGGTTTTTTTAAAGATAGTTATCTATGTACACACCATATCAGGCTTTCCAAAATAGCCTTAGATGAAAAGCAAGCTGCAACAATAATATACTGTACCCAGCCTTAAGTGCTCTAATGAGTGATAGCTGTAAATGAGAATAAAATCGAAGAAAATGCCATGCAGCTCCAGTATTGTAGAGAAGCAGGATCCAGATGGCAAGCCTTTTTATAGCCATACACTGGATTCATGGCTACGAGTCACTTGTTTAATTTGTCTTACTTTAATACGATTTCAGAGTGATGCTTTTGCTAGGTAAGGCCATACAAAATGAAGAGTTTTGAACATGGTGTCTGCTTTTAGCAGAACTTCCCCCACTTCCCTTAACTCTTTCTTCAGCAATTATTGGAATTCTTTATTCAGGAGCATCACCTGGAGTATTTCATGGGTATTTACGCTGCCACATGCAACACGAAATAGAATCGGAAGGTTTACATACAATAGAACCATTGGTAACAAGACTTCACACTGGAGGATAAAGAGATTGTCAGTGTGCTGTTTGAATACCTCTAGCCTGAAATGGTTTTTGCTGGTAACTAAGCTGCAGTTGGAGCTGAAATGCTAGTTTCGTAATACCAAGGCATACAATGGTTGTAGTCTAGCAACTGTCTTGTCTTTTCAAGTGATGTAACTACACGTATATTTGTGACTTCACGCTGCTTTCTCTAGTTTGTTTCTATTTACCCCCCAGTGTGGTGTGTTCCATTCCCAAGCAGCCACAGTAATAATGATCACTACCATTGCACCCTCCCGTAAGCTTTCAGTGAGTGAGACACGCTGTAGCAGTACTGAGCATCAGTGCTACCATTCAGTGGAGCCTGCTGGGTGACTTCTGAAACAGGGTAGACAAACTGCCAAACAGATGGACGACTAATGGTGACCTGGCTCTGACTTTATGAACCCCCATTATGGGTCTTAGATCTTCTATCTTAGCTACTTATATGGCTGCCATCACTGTAGTACTTGAATCCCTCACAGTCTTTAATATATTAATTATCGCAACAGCCCTGTGAGGTAGGAAAGTGTTGTTATCTCCCTTTTACAGATAAGGAGTTGATGTACAAAGACTCCCAGGCTATATCCACACTGCAGCTGGGAGGTATGATTCCCAGCGCAGACTTGCACTAGTTCTGCTCAAGCTAGCATGATAAAAATAGCAGTGTGGACATTCTGGCACTGGCGGCAGCTTGCGCTATCCTCCTGAGCTTGGACATAGGGGCTTGGACAGTTAGTCTTGGCCACCACCCGTGACACAAAATCCACACTGCTATTTTTAGAATTCTAGCTTGTGCAAGTCTCTCTTCCTGCTCTGAGAATCACATCTCTCAGGTGTAGCGTAAACATCTACTAAATGATTTGCCCTAAGTCACACATGAAATCTGTGGCAGAGCAGGGAATTTAACCCAGGTCTCCTAAGACCTAGGCTAACATTCTAACCATTGGATCATCCTTCCTTTGGATTTCCAGTACCAAAGCCCAGGTTTCTGCCACATGAATGAAGAAGTAGTTCCATTATCTTGTAGCAATAGTAGTGTGACGTTGCACTCCATATGCTTTTATGAAAATATGCTAATGAGTGTGAATATAACAACTGGAATATGTTTCATGCAAAAGGTCTCTTGTAAGGTATCATTACAAAGTTTATAATCTACAGAGTGTTGTCACCCTTGTCATAAATATAAAGGGAAGGGTAAAACCCTTTGAAATCCCTCCTGGCCAGGGGAAAGCTCCTCTCACCTGTAAAGGGTTAAGAAGCTAAAGGTAACCTCGCTGGCACCTGACCAAAATGACCAATGAGGAGACAAGATACTTTCAAAAGCTGGGAGGAGGGAGAGAAAC